ATCCCATCAGCAGGAACTCGATCTCCGATAGATAAATGAACCACATCTCCGACAACCAAGTCATCAATGGAGACTTCTTGTCTATGCCCGTCCCTGGTGACCTGAATAATAATCTTCTTCTTCTCCCTGTCCAAATCTCTGAATTGCAAAGATTGTTTGTAGTCACTGATAGCAGTAACCATGACCACCAAGATTATACTTAGAAATATCCCCATCCCATCATACATGCCCTTTGGAAATCCTTCGGTGGCAACTCCCACTCCTATTGATACTGCAGCGCATACCATAAGAATGATAAGTGTTATGTCTTGAAGCGCCTCCCAAACAAACATTAGAAATGACCTAGCCGGTTTCTCTGCAAAACGATTTTCTCCATAGATTTTTTGCCTGCTGGATAGATCACTCGAGCGGACGCCTTCAGTGAGAGATACAGACACTCTCTCCGCAATTCCTTCGACACCTCCATTGCTAGTCAAGCTCTTGGTGTCATGATTGCGAACAATAGATGCAAGTTCGTCTGGTTCGATACCAAAGCCGGCTTGTTTGACCTCATCAGTGAGCTTATACTCAGGCCGAGCACCAGCTGGAGAAATACACATAAGAAAGAAAAAGTTAACCTAAATGCCTCCAATTCTGCAAATGATACATGTCAGAAACTCAGCAATGGGTATCTTACCATCAATGAACTGTAGAGCAGCCTTTTGAACATAGAAGGCAACCCGTATCTTTTCCTGCTTATTAGTAAAGAAAAGTGAGCTGACAGAATGACACCACAATAAGGGTATATTTGGTCACGCACAAGATCCACAGAATGAATGAACTGAGTCATCAACTTCAAAGGAACAATCAACATCTGCAGGCTTAATAACAACAATGAATCGTGCAACCACCAGAAACATAGAACTTTTGGCAGAAGATAGAATCTCTCGGCAATAACATCTAACTGCGTCTGGACATCCACTTCAGAGGATCAAATGGCACACCACCAGAGGTAGTGTGGCTAAAACGTGCATTGGTTTCGCAGCTTAAACTGACTGGCAATTTCACCTAAGTGCTTATTGTTCCCCTCAATAATCACATTAGAAAAAATTACTGGAAAACGACTTGTGAGGTAGTTATAAAAGTTAAACAGCCAACGATTGTCTTAATATTATAGAGAAACAGAGCCCAACATTGAATGGGAAAAGAAAAATGCCACTAGAAAAAAGGAAAAGAAGAAGCCAGAGGATTTATATCGAAACTAAGATATGCTTCAACATCACTTATCTAAAAAGACAGAGGAAGTGGACAAATAAATTATTTGTGTCTGTTTTAATCATAATGGATCCAATACACGAAACTTCCTTGTAACTTCCTGATATCTTAATTTAGTGGCAGATAAAGTCAAAACGAATGGCCTACCACAAGTCAACAAATATATGAATATTAGAAGCTAATTCAGATCCATCAGCCAGAAAGTGGATTCTTGGGTACCCCTCACGCTTAAGCCAAAAACTAATCATGATTAAGCAAAACCCCTATGATTACCTTAACCGGAAATTTTTTTTAAAAAAAAGAAAGATTCATAAAAAGCAAACAAAAAAATCAAAACTTTTTGCAAATTTAGAGCCCAATAGCAGTACCACACTACCACTGATCCCTAAGGTCAAGAAGACCAAATAAAAGGTCAGAATTGTTTTAGCCACTCGGTTTTTCTTATCTTTTCATTGGCCAATGGTGAAAATAAGCAAGAGTTTTTTTTGGTATAAAAATAAGCAAGAGTTGAGACCACACAGTAAAAACACACGAAGCATGACAGAACATGATGTCATGATGGGCTTCGCTTAACTGTTGTTTTGTTGGTGGTTGAATCTCAGACACGCCGTAATAAATAATTCATCTTTCAGATATTTATCATATTTTTCGGCATTTTCTCGCGGAATAGTCAATATTCCAGAGCATATAAAGAGGCCCGCTGTTCATAAATTACGCGTTAACTTTCTGTTTGATTACCCAGAAGATTGGGGGAAATCAAAAGCTAGGACTTTTAACGAGGACAATAAAGTTTGGAACATTAGAGGGGAGACACGAACCCAAGTGGAATGGAAAGAAAGTAACCAAAAAAAGGAAGGAATCAACTCAAGAACATGGAAAAGAAGAATCTCTGGTTCTACTAAGGAAAAAAATTGCACAAGACAAGAAAAAAAAAACGACAGATAATTATATTCCTTTCTCAATCTTATCCTTTGATTGGCTACACCGAAAAGTAGAGGAAAAAGGGGATGAGTAAAAAGCAGGGGGCGGGAGAGTGTTGGATACGCAGAGATGATTGACTTTGCAGATTATTGGAAAAATCAAAAGTAATGTATGGTTCATGAGATTACGCAACGGAAGTAACAAGTGAAGAAATTGAGAGAGAGAGAAATTGTAGGGTTCATGAGATTTACATTGTTCATTCAGACAGTAATCCCATAATACTGGAAAACTATAGTGAAATAGGTAGAAATCGCAAAGAGCAATTGCCACATTAATTTTAAAAAAAAAATCCTCATTAGGTTAATTTTCTCGGTAGACAAACAGTCAGATCACAACGAAAACGTCTGAGGATCTGACTAGCCACGCAAATCAGCGAGAGAGAGGGAGAGAGACGTAGCTCATCTCCAACGTGGTATCACGAACAACAGAGAGAAGAGAAAATCGGGGGGAGAAAAAGACAGACCTGGATCTGGCTTCTCTTCTTCTCGAACTCGGCGCGCTTATCGAGATCGGGGATATTACGGAAGCGACGAGCTCGGTTCTTGACGATGGAGACGGATGACCTCCATCTCCGCCGCGCCTCGAGCGACGGATTCTTGTGGTCCACATCGAAATCCTTCAGCAGATTCGACATCTCCCGCGCTCCCTATCTCTCTCTCTCTCTCTCTCCGTGGGAAATGTTAGCTGGGGTGAAGGCCGGAAGACTGAGCCTGCCTCCTTTGCTCTGGTTTGGTTTCTGATTCGGGGTCCGTATTTATTGGATATATAATACCGAAGCGGGTCAACCGGGTCGGGTCATTGGATCCATTTGTATTTAAATTATTATTATTTTTAAAATTAAACAGTGAGAAACAGTCAGCCCACCGTACCATAAATAAGCATTTAAGATTCGTGCCCCCACTATACATTTATAATCTTATAATAATATCCGTAGATCAGATCGGTTCAAAATCAAAACCCCGCTGTTACAACTGAATAATGCAACACCATTGTGTATCTTCAAACTCATCATAACCCTTGAATTTTTACCATTATTTCAATAAATATAAATTACATATATACACGTGTATCGTTGAACATGTAGAGCCGAATATTTAATTAGACAACAATATCGTTGAATATGATTATCACTCATTTAAAAAAGCATGTTTTTATGACCAAAATGCACAAAAGGGGCATCTGCCGCCCAACTTGTCCTCACCAACGAATCTGCACTTAAAAAATACATATATATACATACACACACACACGAACCTATGTATGCACGTGTGTGTATGTATATATATAATCTATACATATATCTGTTTTCATCTTTCTTTTAAATCCCTCGAATCGAGCCTATCGCTTTATGAGGCTGCCGCTGCCGCCATGGAATTGAGCTTTTTCCTCTCACTAATTCAAGAATTGTTTCTCCCAATTGAATTGAATTGAATTTGGGACTAGTAAAGAACGAAGACAGAAAAGAAAACACACGTGTTTGACCTTGAAAACGCAAGACAGATCACATTACGGGCAAAAATAAAAAACGAACACACTTTTTTCAAGGGGTCTTGTTCTTATGTGTAATAAAACGTTTACCATAGCTACAAAAAAAAGGTAGAATTTGATAACGAAGAAAGAAGAATTCATGTATGATGATGATGATGATGATGATGATGCCAGAAATGGGGTCACGTTGGTCGGGGGATCTAATAAACCATGAGCAAAACCAAACCTAACCTCCCCGCCACTTTCATAAGAACAGACTAAGTTGACACAATCAACAAGCACGGCATAGAGTCAATCAAAAACAGTTTCTACAAGTTGTCACTTGATGTCCAAAATCTACATTGCAACAGAAACACCGACTTCTCTCTTCTCGGTTTTCCCAGTTTTTCTCTACGGTTTACGGATCATATTAACCATCATGAGACCTGAAAACTAAGCGGAACATCATAAGAGGAACTAAAATCCAACCGCCAGAGTCACGGGTTATCGAGATTCCACCCAAAACTCCATGAAAAAATGTGTTATAACCCGGGGGGAAAACATAATATTATCGAGTCATAAGAATTAAGAAAAAAGAAAGAACAAGAAGTGAAGAACTCACGACCCGAGAGATCGTGCAACTGTTGATTCGAGTCTGCGTAACCAGACAACGTACTGATCCTGCTCCTTCTTGTGCAGGTGGTACACGATAAAGTTGGTTAGACCTTCACTTATTCCCCTTGACTCTAAGTACTGCTTTAACGCTAACTCTAGCTTGATATCCAATGTACTGAAAAGAGAGAATTAATTCATCATGTACTGAACTTATTCCAAGCATAAGTGCTGAGAACGTCAATTTAAAAGTCCCACAAAAACAGATCCACTTCCAAGACCCTTCAAATATAGGCAATGGGATAGCGAATAGGGTACGAGGTTAAGACAGTGATTGTTACGGGCTTAGTAGAAAACATTGGCCGGCCACATATGGGCAAGAACCACTGAAACTCCAAACAGAGCTCCTTGTCTTGGTTTGGTGGAGCATTTGAAGGTAAAAGACAAAAACTTGGTCTCTGTGTCGAAAGACTCGAAACTACAATTGTCTGCTCTCTTAATGCGTATTAAGAATCAGAAGTACATGTCCCCATTCTAGAAAACACTTGAAGAATTTGATACAAGAATCATGAAGACAAGAATCAGAAGTACATGTAGCCGGTCTAGAAAACCCTTCAAGAACTTAATTCCAAAAACACGAATACACATTCGACTATAGAACGATACAAAAATATATCTAGCAGCAGGCAGCATTTGGCCAATCAACTCCTTCAAAAGATCTATCTATGAAATGCCACTTAAACATGAACACCATAAAAGGTACTTAAAGCTAAACCCTTTCAGTTGTAGGCATTCGTATCACATTGCCTCTGTCGAAGCTGCAAAACTAATCATTTCTAAATCATAGCGCAGACAGATAATCATGGAATAGACAGATATGCTCCAGATGACAAGACAGCAAAGAGCAGACATTGTATGACAAAAAGAGGAAACAACTCCTGTTCTTCAAAGAAAATAGAGCTCATAAATCTCGTCGATACCTGAACAAGGGTCCATTGTAGGCCGAAGAAGAACGAGCAGAAGACAACGAGCGGAGAAAACTCGCACTGTTGATAGTGAAATCAGAACTGCTAGATCCTGTCTGAGAAACCCGGCAATCAAACTGTAGGGTGGAGCTCAATCCAGGTTTTTTTATAAACACTTTGACAAGAGCTTGCCTTGGAAACACAGGGTAAACTGCTACAGAGGGATCACCCCACAACAAAGCCGAGATGACAATCTCTTCCCCAGTATCACATTTTCGCCTCAGGACAACATCTTGGCTGTCCGGCGAATCCCAATCCACCTTAAAACCTCCCAGCTGTCCGGTCTCAACATCCTGAAGCCAGTTTCACGAAATGAACAGTGAGATTTCAACATCGAATTCGGCAAAGCTGTTCTCGAATTCTCGATCTGGATTCATCCATCGCATTAAATCGAATTTCACCAAAAATGATGCGTAATCGGTCGATGGATTCATCCATCGCAATTAACTCAGAAGAAGAAACAGACTAAAGCAGGCAAGATCTGATAAGAACTACGGTTCTGCTGTAATGATCGAACTCGACGAAACGAACCTGGAATCGAGGGTTGGAGACTTCATGACTGATTTCAGATTGCAAGACCTTAAGCAAGTTGAAATCTTCTAGAACTTTTCGTCCTCGTCGCATAATCGAAGTCACCGTCCTCATCCCTCTCTCCCTCACTCTCTCTCTCTCTCTGGGCACTCGCTCCTTCTCTTTCCTCTGAAGGGGTTTTTTTCGTCTATTTCATACGAAGAGATGACAGAGGCCTGAAACTTCCCGGCCCCGACCGGTTCGGATCGACTATAAGCGGTAAGTTTATAACCGAACCGGCTAGATCTCAAACCGAAAAAATATTCGACTAAAAACCAGAATACAGCTTCAAATTTCAATTTCGTACCCCTCTGAACTTCCGATCTCCCCCACGCGAGCAAGCCGTTTTATTCGAGTCGAAGTGGCGACACCCGTTTTATTCGAGTCGGGTTAACGGGTGCTAAACCGGGCCGGGTCGAGCCGGGATAAAAATTTGAAACCGAGAGTGCGAGAGAAACGAACACTTTGAATAAAAGAGAGACGTTTTGTTTTGTTGTTCACCATCTGTTCGACGAATCGCCCCACAGATTCCTCGTCCTCGCCTAACATTGCCTCTAACCCAATGGAGCCGGAAGAATGGGAAACCTCCTCGTCAAGTGGCAACGAAGATGTTTTCGCGCACGAGGATGACGAAGAGTTTCCTTCCTCTGGTTCAATGCCCAGGTTGCAGTTTAGGTGGGGAGATCGGAATCAAGTTCATAAATTGCAACACTCACTGTCACTGATCTATATTGAGTCTTGTTCTCACTTTCGGTTTGCTTGTTTATAAGGGTGGGGTCGTCTAAGGCTCGTTGGATAGCAGAAGCGGGAATGGCAGAAGTCGAGGCGAAAAGGGGTAAACTTTGGACGACCACCGGAATCATTCGCGGCGGAAAGACGTATTGCTTGGTCGAAGAGGCTCTGTTGCGTTTCAAACTTGACCGAGATTTCTTGTTTTTTGTGCTTTAGGATTCTTTTCCCTA